TAGTCCAAGTGGCTATTAAGTACTGTCAGCACAGTCTAATGATATGAAAGGTCATAACCTTCTGATTACAGGAATGTGCTCAAATAGGGCCAAGCCATCATTTCCTACAGTTAGGTGACTATTGGGTGAAAAGGGGCTTCCGTAGAGGACAAAAAAAAAAGCAAATCTGTCTGAAGTGCTATTTTTACTTGTAAAAGAGAAAATAAAATAAAGGAGGAACATGGGGGCAGCTTCCAAAGACATTGTCATGCAATTGAGGTTGGACAGATGTTTTACCCCCTATGGCAGGGGTTGGCAATTCCGTACCGCCAGCTGCTGTGGAACTTCAAGTCCCATAAGGCATTACAAAACTCTGACAGCCATAGGCATGACTCTCAGAGACAGATGCTTGATGAGATTTGCGGTCTCACCACTGCTGGAGGGCTGAAGTTGCCCAACTCAGCACTACGGTTTGCCTAACCCTATAAAAAATGAGACCCTGTTATCCTCTCCTCAGATCTCTCATATGTTCCATTCAGTGGCCAACTAACACTATTAAAAAGTTAGCATGAAAAATTAGTTTTGTCCCAATTTTATATAAACCAGCCAATATTCAATTCACTCCATGAAGACTAGGAGGATTTTTCACAAATGGGTGAAGGGTTTGGAGAAGGCAGGAGAAGTGAACAATCTAGGACAACATAGCTGATTTGGAAAAATTCTCCAATTCCGTTCACTTTCCAGTTCAGCTATGTTGTCCTAGATTGTTCACTTCTCCTGCCTTCTCCTTTTGTAAATAACCCTGTAAGATTTTTTTTTTAAATTTTTTGGATCAGACCTACATAGAGTTTAGAATTTAGTTTCTCTTTCCATGCAGATGTTTTGTGTCTTGGCAGACCCCCAAATTCTCCTTACCCTTCTCTGATCACCTGCGGTTGTTTCACTAAAGGAGTAGATAATGTTCACTTTGTTATCTCAAATACTTATTCCACCTTTATTATTTAGTGGATAGATTTCCCATCACTTCCTGTCCCAACAGAAGATAAAAGGGAAAACCCCTCATTAGGGACACAATAATAAACCCCAAAAGCCTCTAGCTTTTCATTGCTCTATTCCAAATTAAATACAAAGTTTTGGCCATAGCTTCACCATATTCTCCAAGCAAAGTAAACATTCTATACACATTTAGTGAATCAACACTACTGTCTACGACCTGATTTGAGAGTCAAATTTGGAAGGAGCTTCATTGATAGCGCTATGGATCTGGTTCCTAAAGCACCTGATTCAAGAGGCAACTCAGCAGAAAAGTCTACAAGTTGTTGAAACATCCTAAAATGTAGAATTATTAAACATAATATTTAAATAAGATTTGTATCCTGTTCAGAGACATATATGACCTTTAGGTTCATTCTGTTTTCTTATTTTATCAAAAGTACCTCCCCCAACCGGAAAACGAGGTGAGCTCTACGTGACCTACTGCAGCTTCTAATGCACACTGTGCAAGATTGAAGGTAAGGATGGAGTTCATCTTTAAGATTGAAGGTAAGGAATGTTATAGGATAATTGCAAAATAAAATTATACATCAGGCTAATGTACGCAATAAACAGGTACCCCCAAATATTGCACCACTACAGTGCACGTCCTGCGCACAGAGTTTGGAGCCTTACTAGTGCTGCGCCTTTGATTAGTGCCAAAATGTGTTTTCCAGCTGAAGGCAAAGGGGTGGGGTATGCCTTATGCTGGCCATAACCCTCTATGTGTCAGCATGAGGTAGACCTTGCCCACATGCCTCCAGACACACCACAACACCATTTATAGAAGGCTTTGGAGACTACAAGGCTAGAGCTACATGTGTGACTTCTGATCATGTGACTAAAATCACTAGGGATCAGTCACCTGCTTTAGAATACATTGTTTGTATTAGCAAGAGCATCACCGGTGATGTTCAGCTCAGCCCGGCCATCTGATTATAATGATGGCCATGGATGGTAGTAGCTCAGTGCTATAAATGAAGCATATCGCAGATAGCAGAGGCAATTTGTTTTGACTGGATGCAAGCGATTTATCATGTATGGTCACTTCAACATGAGATCTTAAGAGGTTTTGAGTAGAGGAAGTAAGATATCACAGACAGTACATGCTTCTTCGCTGAAGCAAAATCATGGAAAATCACATGTGATCACAGTCATTATAAATTGCACAATCCCACGATTATTTTAGTTGTACAGTCCATGGTCGCCCATGTAGCTCTAAATGCTGCATGTGAGTTCCACTGATTTGAGGGTAGCAATGTACCTATTTATTGCTAAAGGTTGCCCTTGTCTGCCGATTGCACACCTCATTTATTTTACATAAAGTAGTTATTCTTATAACAAAAAATAAATTATAGCAACTTGACACCAAAATGCATTGCAAAAATGAGTATATTGCAGAGAATCTCCAGTACATGACAACGTATTATCTTTAGCCTCTCTCCATCCGTTATACATTAAGGCAGTCATTATGGCACAGACATTAAGTTGAGTTCGACAAGAACTGAGGCAAATGAAAGTTCCACTGGGGATGAAATATAAAAATTAAAAAAGAAAAGTTGTAATGTCACACATGGCACCCAATGTGGTGTTAATCTGCAATGGAAAATCTGATTGGCTGCCAGAGACAACACCTCCAAATGTTGAGTGCTATTTAAAGACTATGGGGGGAATTTATCAAAGCAATGGTGAGTGTTTTATCCTCTTAGATCATTTTTTTTAAATGTGCAATTTGGTTTAGCAGCTCCTTTTAACCAGTGCGCCCGATTTGACCAGAGCCTGCACTACTTTCCTGATTGCGCGCGCTTTGCGAAAGTTCGCGACTGTTTACATCTGTGCTTGCCCTGTGGCTGTCTGAAACTAGAGCATCACCTAACAAAACAATTGCTACTTAAGAAGTCCCCATGACCACTTCTAGAAACGACAGTTAAGCTTTTTGCCTGGAGTTGCGAGTTTTCTTTCATGGAGTCTATTTAATCTCATTTATGAACAACATTACACTAGCAACATAAATCTGGTGCAAATATATCCCATGCGACCATATGCGAGTTCAAAATGTAGTAGATCCCATCTCACTCCTGACCGTATAAAGCCCAAATGAAGACTGGGGGGTGCCGAAAGTGACAGTGAATGCCTCCGCACATCAAATGAAAAATACCACGAAGTCACTCACACTCCGTTTGTTGATAGCAGTCAATCTCCTTTATTGACTGAACATGATGTCACATAACAAAGCGACGTTTCGGGACCAGGCAGTCCCTTCTTCAGGCAAACAAGACAATTGTTCAAACACTCGCAATTGCTATGATAATTTTCCCTCTGTGTACAGAAGATTTTGGAGGTGTTCCTGCAAGAATCCCCTCAAATAGTCTTTTTCCTCCTGTTACATGTGACTAGGACAACATCTAGATACAAGTCTTATAATTTAATAGCAAATAAAATAGGTTCATATTTTAAATTATAAAATAAACAAGGCAAATAAAAAAACAAAAAACAGATTAATGCCTCTAGTCCTCTAAGTATTGGTTCTGATTGAGTTATGTGGTCATTCGGAAAAAAAAAGGTTGAAGAGGAAACTCAGTTGAATTTAACCATTCTGTCATGTAAAGGGAAGGGCATCATATAGGATCGTAAAATTATGACAATGGCACTGTCTTAATTATCTGGCAGGTTAGCAGAAAACATGAGTCAGCAGCTGAACTCCCTGGATATAAAACAAGTAATACCGGAGTGAATGTGTCTACTCTTTACGGCTATGGTAGGGGGAAAAAAATAGCATTGTTGTACTCACCGTATAATCCTTTTCTCTCCGTTCATTGAACGACACAGGTCCCGCCCTCTGTATTTGGGTGTGTACTCCTAACTGCTTGTTACTTACTGGAGACTTGTCAGTATGTGGGGGGTTGGGCCACCAGCAGGGGCCGCCCCTAGGCTGTCTTAGTCTTTTGTTTTGTGCCTAGCGTCCTTCTCCTGCCGGTGGCGATATACCCTATGGTACATGATCTATGATCTGTTCCCTGTGTCCTTCAATGAACGGAAGAGAAATCAAGTTTCATTCTGGTTGGATTATATGTTGGAGTATAGATGATGAATGGAAAAGCCATTCTGGAAAAGATTCGAAATGACTCTCATGCTCAATGAAAAGCATCTAGGGAGTTTCAGTGGATTTTTCAAAAAATTCTACAGGATCAGATGACTAGTTAAATTAATGGATGTACCCGAATAAAACATTAAATCCTGAGATATTTTAATAAAGGAAGAAAAATACTAAAAGAAAATCAAAAGTGGAAGAATACAGCTACTAGCTATGGTCGTGACTCTTTATAATATTAGGGATGCACTGATACCAATACTAGTATCGGTGGCGATACCGAGTATATGGGCGAGTACTCATACTCGTCCTAATGCTTCCGATACTTATCCCGCTACCGGAACTTTCGGTACCAGGAAGCCGGGCGGTGAGTTATTACACGTCACCTGGTGACGAAGGAACTTGGAGCCAGCTTCCCGGCTAAACAGGAAGCCGGGCAGATTCCTTAACTGACCTCCGGTATCTATATTCGGTATCAGCGAGTACCGGAAAAAAATAGCTGTACATATTCTCGATACTGAAAAACCAGTATCGGTGTATCCCTAATCCTTGGTATATTACATTCTTAGTACCAATTACAGCACATACTATATTTTGTCTTCAGTGGTTTCCTTCATGCAGTTTTACAAACAGAATTTCTAAACAGTCCTACCTTGACCATGTTATTAAGGCAGCACAATGGAATCTACTCTTATGCAAACAGATATTTGGTTTCTATACATTCATTGCCATAAAGTGTATTGACATGGTGCATTGCAAACCCAACCCAAACACCCAGGTACATTGCCTCTGAAACAAGGTTAGTGGTTTAAACCAGGTATGGCCAACCTTTCGGCTCACCGTTTGTTCAGAAACCCCCAAAAACCGGCATGCTCTCCACTACTCTAGCAGGCCAATCATGCACAGACTAGGATTTAGTCAACCTCAGAAAAGCCCTAAGTTGTCCACGCTTGTTTTAAATAGATAAGACAATCCATTGTGTCCATAAGAGTACAAAACTGTATTGATCTTGCAGAATACTTTGGAGGCAACGCAAGTAATAATATACACAAAAAAAACTTTACAAAATAAAAAAATTAAAAAAAACAAAGCATAAGTGCTGGCCTATGGATGAAATGCAGAAAAACTTCTATGAAAATGAGCTATCTAGAAATCTAATGCTCCAAAAATAATACAGGATATGAAGTCTATAAGAAAGAGCACTGAGGCGATGCTAACAGTGATGGTCGTTTTCTTCCATGCTTATGCTGCTCCTTCTGCTGTTTGTTTTGGAGGCACCCGGAGATACTGAGTGAAGTGTGTCATGTACTCTTGGGGAAAGGGTATCGTCCATGAATATGTCTTCCAGTTTGGAGCCCATCTTCGTGGGCATGCTGTAGGCGGTGGGGGAGTCGTTAATGTTCCTAATGTTGTTACTAAAAGTGATGGTACCGTCTGTGAGATCCAGGGTGCTGGTGCCAGACAAATCATGATGGTTTTGCATAATATCTTGGTTGCAGCTGTCCAAAATTGGCTCCTGCTTGATGACTCGATTGACCAGATCAGAAGAACAGAGACCTGTAGAAGGCATGATGGAGAGTCCGTGGGCTCTGGCTTGCATTTCCAGTTCCTGAAAGGTATGAAATAACATTAATGAAGCTGTACCCGATTACTACATTACCTTGTGAAACTTTTGTTTTTAATAAAATATCATTAAAATGTGTATGTAAAATCGATTGTAGTATATTTGGCACTATATGTTGCTGTATAAGGTTTTCTTAAGCAAATATTTTTTTTGTGCATCTGTTGCAAAGTTTTTCTTATCTGGAGTAAGAGCACTTCCTGTTGCAGGCTGGCAATGCTAAGCTACTGCCTGGTATGGTAATGGTTGCCTAGGACCTATGCATATGGACTTCTTTGCAGGGTGGTAACTATGTGTGATGTGACTAGAAATTGCTCTAATCAAATCACTTACTATTGTCTTTATAAATTAATACAGGCTTCCAAACTTTATATACTGTATGTAGGGATCTAGTATTTTTCCATATTGTCCTTTTTTACTTTTGTGTGATTTGTAGGAAGATATGGGCTGCAGTCAGCCTTATACATGTTTTCCTAGTAGGTTTATTTCCTCTGCCAGATGCTGTTAAATGTGCTGCAGCAGGCTTTGCTTGCCGAGTAAGAGTTTGTGTTATGAATATTTGATAACCTAGCCAATCACCGGGATTCGGGGGCCCGATGATGTGTGCTGGGGAGGTGTTAAAAATTTTCAGACTCTCCAGGGCTTGGGCTTTTAGAGAATGATGCTGTGAACCATATGTCTCTACCCAGGCTTTTGGGCCTAGGAGTTGGAAGAAGCAGGAATCCCAGGAGGAATCCTGAAGATGTTGGCTGCTGGAAGATAATGGGGTTGATTTACTAACCTTATAAACACACCACGAACGTGTATACACCTCTGCAGTGTGTTCCCTCCCAGCATGATCTATGGGTGGAATCTAAACACCTTTGTGATGTGTACACACACAGCAGGTGTGTTGTGCAAAGCCCTGAAGGAATTCCAAGGTGATGTTGGGTAAATTAGCTCTATGTTGTGTTGCTTGGGTTGATGAATCCTAGGAATGTAAATGCATGAGCTAACCATTTTTGTCTAAACTGTGAAGCAGCATTATATATGCATCATGTGCATGATTTTTCCATATATGGCATTAGTGGAAATATGCTTTTAGAGACTTTTTGGTTGATAAATACGTTTTGCTGTGTGAAAATCACACACACCTGGTGTGTGTGTGTGTGTGTTTAGGTTAGTAAATCACCCCCAATGTGTCTGGCCTAGAGGAAGCAACTGGAGATAACCCCCACAAAAGAAGTGGTATGTGGCTGGTCACACATGAACCTTCTCAGCTTTCCTGCCTTGGAGCACCATGATTAAGATACCACTAGAACCTTAATCTACACACAGCTGTTTCTGTATTGCAGAGAGCGTAGTGTGAGGAAGGTGGAATGTCTAGAAACATGGACAGAAGACCAGAGCTTGTGTTCTGGCAATCAACCTTTAGGTACCTTTGCTCCATTCACCATCTTTCCCTTTCTCTATGCAAATAATAAGCTCATCTTTAAAGTGACTGGCGCCCATCCTTTATTTTGCCCTGGGGAGAGTACCACACCTGAAATTAATGTGCTTGAGATCTTATTGCCAAGTGAGTGGGCTTAGGGCACTCAAAATGTGGTCTATTATTCATCTGGTTATCAATTCTTATTTCATTCAGCACATTTATCTCATCACAACGTATTTGCCAAATGTTAACGGTACCTGGCATTGCTTCCTGTTTGGGCTGACAGCAATGCCTCTGCTGCACTGAAATCCCAAGCAGTATTGCTGGCCTTGTATGTTGAACTTCAGAACTCCAGACACATAACAATGACATTGTCTGCTATGGCTATAGTTATGCCTTTGGAGCTTTGGCTACCAAGATCTAGCTCTGAGACACCCAGACATATGTTTAAAAGAGAACTATGGGGTAAGTGTTTTTCCCCATAGTTCTCTTAAGGGTCACGAGAGGACAAATACTGGCGTCCTCCTGTGACCCAAACCTCAGTATATCGCGAGCTACAGCTCGCGGTATACTGAGACCGCCGCAGCCAGGACAAATCCCGACATTACTGTTGAGTTCCACCCAGCTGCGTGAGTGACAGCTGGATCTGCCTATCTGGAGGCAGAGCCAGCTGTACCTGCCCCCTCCCCCATCCGTTCCTCCAGTCAGCGCTGGAGGATTGGATCGGGGAGTGGGGGAATCCCTGCAGGGAGCCGTGATTGTCAGTCATGGCTCTCTGCAGGGAGATGATCGAGAAATGAGCGAGCGATGGTATGTGTTCGCTCACTTCCCGATCTATTGAGCCGACGTGTAACAGTTTCATTGTCACACGTCAACTCGAACTATGAGGATGAGTGATTTTCACTCACCTCATAGTTCTCCTTTAAGTAAAACCGCTACTTGCCCTATACAGTATATTGCTAATAAATACAGCACAATGTTCAAGTAATAAACCTGCAGACTTCCACATTCTTTGGATTTTACAAACATGTTGGGTTCTGAAAAAAGTCACAAGCCAAATCAAGGTCATTTAAGAGAAATGTTTTGGTGTAGGCGTGCACAATAACAGAAGACTGATGAAACGTGTCAGTACACATTATCAGTCGGCTTTTTTATAGAGCTAAAATTACCATTACATAACACCGTTGCCCCAAGGCTAGATATATGCTATGTCTATTTAACTAAGATAATTACACCTTGAGCTCATTATCAAGGTGCCTAGTGATAGATAAAAACGAAAAAAAAGTGTTAAGTCGAGGAAGTAAAATATATGTAAATGACTTTTAATTGCTCTAAATTTGAAAGTTGTTGTCCCAAAGGCAAGCAGATGAACTATCTGGCTGAATACCTTAATTAGAGGATTTTGTTCCAGAGTTTCCAACTATAGACTATTTTCATTGGTATGACTTCAAATGACATTTGCTTTGTCATGGACTTTCATGTGCTCTTCCTCCAATGATGAACGCCTTAGGCCTGGTTCACACCTGGGCGTTTTGTAGCGCGTTCCTACACTCTGCAAAGCGCTCAAACACCGAAATCCCATTATTTCCTATGGGTATGGTTCACACCTGGGCGTATTACAGGCCGTATGAACGCGCTACAAAACGCCCAACGCCCAAAGAAGTACAGGAGCTTCCTTGGGGCGTATTTACCGCGCGTATCCATTGGGATACAGCCAGGTAGCCCTCGGAAACGCGCGTTTGTCGCACGTTTTTTTTAACGCGAATCGTTGTAAAAACGTGCGGCACGAAACGAGCAACAAACGCGCATATTCGATACGCCTAGGTGTGAACCCAGCCTTAGTGTATTTGGAATTATTACTTTTAGCATGTATCTAACCCCAAGAACAAATATCTAATATAGTGCAGCTTACCAGTCCTTAGCTGTGGTGGCTGCACGAGCGTTCTCTTTTTTAGACTTTAAGGTATATCATTTTCTGTAAGACTATAGTGCTCTTTATTATTCAGCCTGGCTATTTTCTGGTGTAGCTCCACAAAAATGTAATGATGAATTAAAAAAACGCTGTAAAGACACAAACCTGTATTCTGAGCAGCAGGTGTCTGTTGGCATGTTCAAGCTTCTTCTGTTTGTTCTCAAGCTCCTTCGATCTCTGCTGCTCTCGCTGAAGTTTGCGTATATAGTCCACAGAGGCTTTCAAAATGGTTCCCTTGTTCCACCTCATATCCCTGGAACACAAGATGTGACTACTTCCAATCATTTTAGATTTTGTTGATATTTTTATTTTAATTCCCAACCCCAACCACCCAACCACCCCCTCAGATGAAGACAAAACGTTAGTTGCCAGCCTGTCCAGTGGTCTATATTCCAGCCGGCTCACATGCTCCAGGATCAAATCCAGAGAATTAAGGAAAACCCCTGCCAATCTTGGAACCCATGTCGTGGCTATCATAAGGGCTACTGGAGGACAGGCAACTGGAAGATTTTAAGGCTGTCAAACACTGGGCAGGCCAGGGACTGAAACGTTGTCAACACTTAAAACTGAATTAAAGTCCAAAAATAAAAAGCTGCTAGAAGGTAGAGTATTTTTCAGCAGAAGAGAAATGCAATGTCTCTTCTGCCCAAAAACCTCTTCCTCTTGCTTCTGCATTGTATGTTGTGTATACTGCCTATGGCCCAAGAGTAGTGCAGCGTACACCCCTGGCTCATTCTCAGCATCTGTAAGATGCCGAGAGCGTCAAGAAAATAAAACTTCAGCATGCATGTGCAGGAGTTACATCATCACTGGCTGCCCAATGGCAGAACCTCAGACCGCGAAGAAGAGAGGCAGAAGATGGCAGCAGTTGCGAGGGGGAGCACAGATCTTGGATCGGTGGAGCACACTGTAGAGAGTAAGTGTGGGATAATGTGCAAGTATATTGTACATTATGGCACATTATGGCAGCCCACTCACCCAAAAAGCGGTAAAGTTATCCTTTAACATTAATTTTAAAAGGAAACTATATTGTTTAATGAGTTTTTAGAAAAACATGAGAATGTGACCATTTTATTTATTTATGTTTTTATAATGTCTTAAAATCTTGTTTCTATGTATAGGTTTAGATGGGGCACCCATATTTGCTTGCTCACTACATTTATAGGCACTGATTCCTGCTTTGCAGCACTGCATAGTTGTTCTGCCCTCTAGGTCACTTCTGTCCATCCCAGCTTGGGTCAGGTCAGACGCACTGAAAACAATGCACTCCCTGCATAGTTGTAGCTGCTAAGCAAGGAGACTGAGTGAAAGCAGTAGAGATGAGCTCAGGTGTGGGCTGGACCCGGTCCGGACCTGTTCTCCACTGAACAAGGAAGTGCCATGAGACCTAACTTCCACCCAATCAGCTACACTTTGGGCATTACCTCCCCGCAGTTGCATGTAGACAAAGGGGTGGGGTGCTCGTGCTGACATAATTTACCTAATATGTTCACATAGCCATATAAGGTAAATCTAATTTACCAAATATAGGCATGTAGCAATGACGTCACTGCATTCTGCCCCTTTACTTAGGTCAAGCTGTGGGCATGGAATTTCCCAGCATGGGAGTAGCTTCTTCTGTGTTCAGGAGGAACTTCCTTCCGGGTTTGGAGGAGCTCCGGTTCAGACTACGTTTGGTCCAAATCTAAACTTATCCCTAGTGAGCTGTAATTTACAAATCAATATACTTGCAGTTTATGTTCAGCCACAACTTTCTCTTTGAATTTTGGATAGAGTGGGTGAGTATTAGAACCTCAGTTAGGTTTTTACTGCTATCCGGGGCTCCGTTAGATGGAAACAATGGTTTCAACTGACAGCAATATGAGGCAAAATCTCCAATAGCAACACAGAAATGAAAATAATTTTCTTTAGTAGAGTAGTGGAAGGCTAGAAACCCCGGTAAAGTGTTCTGACCATCCTACCCCCTATCTATCCAAACCTTAAAAAAAAAAGGTTAGGCTGGACACTTTAATACAAAATCAGAACTATGAGAGAGCATGCTTGTATTGCAAACTGTGAAAGATACTTTTGGAAACCTTAAAGTGAAAATGTACTTAATCTCTGGCTCAGGTAAGGAAAGCGTAGCATTATGCTTCATGTTCCTGATACCAGGATCCTAAATTAAAACTGCCTTAAATCTCTAAATGTAAAAGTCTGACCTAAACCTTACCCCAGCTGCCTTCATCTTGTCCAATAAATTATGCATCACATTTGCTTGGAATCCTAAACTGTGCAAGCCCCAACACGTTAGACCGGGAATAGGCAACCTCGGTGCTCCAGCTGTAGTGAAACTTCAATTCCCATTAGGCATAGCAAGACTCTGACATCTATGGACTTGACTCCTGGAGGCAGAAGAATGACGGGATTTATAGTTTCACCACAGCTGGAGGGCTGAGGTTGCCTACGCCTGCGTAATCCAGATCAACAGGCAGATATTCCAATTCTCCTCATCTATCTTATTGCATGAGAAATTACTTTGTATATACTTACGGGTCATTTGACTTGGGTATTAAAGTTCCTAATTCTTTGATACGGTCGTTGATGTTAAATCTTCTTCTTCGTTCAACTGCGATTAAAAAAAATAAAGATATTTAGAGGCTGATACCTAAAACAACAAGATAAAAGACAAGAAACGTGGTGATGGTAAGAGACATTTCAACTACAGTGAGACTACAGAACATACAGACAGATCTTGATTATATATATTTATAATGTAAATATAAAATATGTTCAGTTCACAAATTAATACAGCTCTAGAAGCACACAGAAAGTGATGTAAGAGATCCGTATGATCGAGTCTGGTATCTGTGAGGTTTCGGGCAATTTTAGGGGAATTTGAATCTCCAGTAATAGTTTTCGCACATTCCTAGTTCATTGTTGGTATAATAAAAGATGATTTTAATCTAATCAAAAAAATCTAATGCTGAAAATTATACCAAACGTGCCAGTTGCACATATCTGTCCCCAAATACCTTACAAAAACGTGATTACTTATTTTTCCTTGCTTCAGAACATAGAACCAAGGACTGGTTGTGCAGCTCCCCAACAATGCACACTCTAAGACAGGAGTAGCCAAACTTCGGCCCTCCAGCTGTGGTGAAACTAAAAATCCCATGATGCATCTCTCTCCGGTAGTCATGTTTGCGGCTGTGAAAATCTTGCAATGCCTTTGTAGTTCCACCACAGCTGGAGGGCCGGAGTTTGGCTAGCCCTGCTCTAAGACATCTTTCAGGTTTCAGTACAATGTCCTCAATGCTTTCATATATGTCAAAGGAAGGTAAATAAGACCACCTACTTTAGTATCCCAACTGTTTTAAATGCAATTATGAATTCAAGGGGTAACAGGACATGCACATACACAGAATAAGCCAGCAGCACATTGAATAGGTAGGCTGAATATAGCAATGACCACAAACCACCACTAGAGGGAGACATTGCACTTCTAAACCCTGAAATCACATTATTAAAAGTCTTTTAATTCTGCAATTGCCTTTCTCATGTGTTGTGGTTAATGTGTATTATACAGAGGCATGTGCATAGAAGCAACAATATAAAGTATACAGATCGGAGACTTTTATTTCACTTATTGCGTGGTGTACATTCCAGTGCCTTGTAGCTATTAGTTTGCTTATTGGAGGGGTTCATTATATATAACTTATTGCTTACTTGTTTCAGGTCAATGCCTCAGAAAGCGTTAATACCAGAAAGTAAGAGGCATCTACTATTTTCAGTCAGCAGTGGCAGCCTTCATATTTCCATTTTATAGTTGGGAAAAAGTTTTTAAAACATGTTTTCAGAGTCTTGGGCCCATGTCACATTAGTAATCCTGTTGCTGGCGAGAACTCTGATCGCAGGATCACCATGTAGGATACAACAAGGCAGGGTGGTGTGTATCTGCTTGCATGTGTCGCTCCCTCCCTAGCGACTTACATTCTGAAGCATTTTGGATAGCGAGGGAGTGATGCCTTGCTCATCCAGCTGGCCAGGGATCAACAGCGGGTGAGGGTGAATGTTTTCCCCGCACAGTTTAGGGATACCGTTACTGATGAGTTTTTCGTCAGCAACTGAATTGCTAGGGTTTAAATCGGCCTTACAAACAGCAGAAGAAATTTACCATGGTGAAGTTGTACAGAGGAACATCTTGCTCCTAACTGTCAGGATGACTTTGCTCCCAGTCAGCAGACAGCTGTATATACACCAATCAGCCATAACATTATTGTTGGGAATACAACAGCCTATGCAAATATGCACTGATTGTATTACTGACATGCTCATGTAATATTCTCTTTTGGCCACCAGAAGGCGATGTGGTGCAAAGCTAGTCTGTATGTTAGTTTTCTATATGTATGCTTACTTATCTATGATCTATATGTTTCCTGCTTGATGCTGTAATCCTGTATATATGTATGCAACGTTCTTCTAAGCATGTACAACTTAATTCAGCATTCCTCAAGATCTCAGTGCTTCACCTAATCACATAACCAACAATTATAACCATCCACCTAATATTGAGTAGGTCCCCCTTTTGCCGCCAAAACAGCCCTGACTCGTTGAGGCATGGACTCCACTAGACCTCTAAAGGTATGCTGTGGTATCTGGCACCAAGCCATCAGTAGCAGATCCTTTAGGTCCTGTAAGCTACGCAGTGGGGCCTCTTTCGCTTCCCACATGCATCAAGGAGCCTTGCCAAGTGCCATTGTAATATATCCCACCCACTTCCAGGTGCCATTGTAATATATCCCACCCACTTCCAGGTGTCATTGTAATATATCCCCCCCATTTTCAGGTGCCATTGTAATATATCCCCCCCACTTCCAGGTGCCATTGTAATTAAATAATAAATGTTATTGACTTCACCTCTCAGTGGTCATAATGTTATGGCTGATCAGTGTATCTTATATAAGCAGTTTCTACCCATAAGAGTATTAGTGGCCTATATGCAGAAAGTTCAACCTACTTAGATTGTGATTGTCCTTCTTCTGTCTTTCCTTGGCCATCGCTCTTGCTTCTGACTCTGAAAGAAAATAATTAGACATGTTCAATATAAAATCACAGTCATTAAAGAAAGTTGAATTACACTGCATTTAAGGACCCGGCCAGGGGAAAAATAGGGGATCTGCCTATGCAGACTTGCTTGTGGTGGTGCAAGCTTCAGATCTTTGAACCATTTCTTCTATAATACTTTGTAAGTCACAACACACAACAGATATAAATGAAAGGAGCTTTGACTTTTTTTGTTTGCATTCTTGCTGTAGGTCAGAGACTTATTAAAGCATATCTAAAGCCAAGAACAAGAATGTAGCATATTGTAGTTTACCGGTCCTTAGACACTGTGGCTGCATTAGCTTTCTTTATCCTTTATTTTTACTTGGTGATCCTGCCAGTAACATACTTCCTGTTCTAGGGTGACAACGCTCACTTACTGTACTGTATTTATGGACGAGCAGCGTTGTCACCCTACCACAGGGTTAGACACAACTCTCCGTCTTCTCTTCTCCAATATAAAAGGGAGGTGTTATTTAGTTTATAGAAAAATAACATTGTTTCAGCGCACAGGAAGTTACATGGACACTTGATTTCTGGCAGTGACAAATCTTTTTTTCTGTACTTGCAGAAAATGAACTGAAAAAAAGAAAACAAATGCAGCCACAGCATCTAAGGACTGGTATGCTGCAATTTGGTAATTTCCTTTTCTTCTTTCTTTCTGATACACTTTAAGAAGTAAAGCATGAAGGTGATAGCCCTTGAGTTTGCATTTAAAAAAAAAATGGCAATGGCATCCCCAAAATCTTTATTCTTAAAATCATTTTAACACAAAATTATATACCCGGTGAGGATATTTACTAAAGAAGTAGATAATGTTCACTTAGGAAAATGAATGCTTACTTCCTCTGCACATGATTAGACAGTCAAAGTGAAATAGCTTCACTGTATTCAATAACCTAACTGAACATTTTCTGCCTTTTTAGTTTATCAACCCCAATAAATGTCCCAAAAATAAATTCAATTAACTGTAAATGATTACATTATTATTTTTTTATTGTAATATACTTGCTGCCGATACACAAAAAACCTCAAACAATTTGTTGGAGGATGTATTAGTTTTACATGCATAGCCCATTCATTTACTTGAATCCATTATTAACTCCCTTGTGGGCTCCCTTGTTGACTATAAACATTGTTCAATTTGAACTTTTTGTATAATTTAATGGTATTTATTATGACCTGCTTTGTTTTCCAATGTCCATACTGATCTAGGTAAGATCAACAGTGATGACCATGGGAAGGCTTAAAATTCTGGGGAAACAGTAGGCATAGGGAATGCTGTATGTTACCTATGCCAGAAGCCGTTAGGACTTTTTATACCAAATATTCACAGTAAAATTAAACCTTGGGTATTTTGATTGAGCACAGAGGTTACTTTGCACACTTGTACAAGAAGAAGGAAAGGACATTTGCAATGAATACTATTTAAAATGTAAATTTCAAAGGAGACTATGTGCCTGGATTCATTCCAATTGAGCTAAATATGCCCCCTTAACTTTACACTTTCTGAATCTGTGAATCTGATATCTATCAAACGTTCAATACAGGTGAATCTTCCATGTGCATGCGTTTTAAATAATAGTGTTTTACCACTAGCGACATTCATTGCATTTTTAATATGCCGCTAAATATCTAGGGCTGAAATTGGCAATTAACAGTTTGTCCACTAGATGGCAATCAGCAACCACTTTTAAAATAGATAATGTAGTGATTGCCTTTCAATAAGATCCCTACAAGGACAAATAGTTGTACCTACTGATATATAAATATATTTTTTAATCAAGAAATATATATGTTATAAGGTATATCATTTTATCACACAACTTCAACAACCTCTTTTAGTGCAGCCAATTACCCTTAGCTTTCAGGGACATCGCCTGGCTTTGAAGAGTTTTGGTATATCCCCCCCTGGTTTATCACAACTATTTATGTCCTTTGGAATTTAGATTTATATTACTGAAGCACTTACGATGAAAACAAAAAAATGATCTGAATTTCTAATGATTAAACAAGGTGTCGCTGTAAATATTATTAGTGATCCCCTGAGCGTGATGAGCTTAGCACACCAAATAGCTAACTGCCCCTGGATACATTAACTCCAATAATACTGAAGGATAAAACAAAAAAGGACATGGTACCTGACAACTATCTTAAATAGGAAACAGTAACAAAAGTATGGGGGCATTACTTTAAAGATGTAGGTGATGTGTGACCAAGAGAGCTTTTTCCTTGTGTTGGAGAGATCTCTAGTCACTTTGATTTTAAGACAGGAAATGCGGAAAAATCTCTCCACTGGGAAACGGCAAACACAAATATTGTCAGGGGTTTTAACCATTCCCTACTCTGTATAAAACGTAAAAAACAAACAAAAAAAACTATAAATATACTTTAAGCAGTCTCATCTGACCATAGAGTTGTACCTACTGTATGCAACCTTTACACAGTAAGATAGAATGCAGGCACAGCCCCTTGGGGGCTTTCACAAGGGCAGTCAGCCAATACAGTACATAATACCCCATACAGACCAGTGTATATATACGGGCGAATGTGGAATGGGTGAATGATTTTGCCAGTTCACCCGCCTGTCATACCTCCATCTGTGTCCCAGTAACCATTGACGCTGTGCAACCCACATGGCACCACTAATTGACTGTTGGCTGCACTGCACGGCGGCATTCATTGCTAAGACACAGCCAGGCGCACCTTAAAAGCTAGAACGCTATGGGGCCACCAGCATGTTAGCAACTAATGACATTGTGCGGGCTGCACAGTATTATTGGTTGATAAGGGGCTGGAGGCCTCACGGTATCATTGGTTGGTGCTGCAACCATCTGCATCCTAGCAACCAATGGCGCTGTTCGGACCAGTTGCTCGCACCCTATCATCCAATGACGCTTTGCTGGTCACACATCATCATTGGTTGCTAGGACACTGGTGGTTCTGGGTTCAGTTCACTTGAACGTTCACCAAACCGGGCTTTCGGGCTGGGTTTTGATGAAGATCCAACCAAGTGAACCAAACCCAGGCCAGTTTGCTCATCACTCTCTCTACCGTTAGGACAAAGAGTGATGGGATATCTCACAGATAAAAATATATCTTCAGTAAAATCGGGAACAGTTAGAAAGGCTGATGGTGATTTATTGCTATTCGTGCTGTGTCTCAGTGATGACTGCTCCCCACACTTCCTGTACACTTGTTATAGGAACAAGACTTGAAGGAAAAATCCCCTATGGGGTCACAGCCAAAATTTAAAACAGAACTCCAGGCAAAGAAAATCTTAACCCTTGCAGTGAGGCTACCCCTGCACTGCAAGGGTTAACTGCTAATTTTTTCTAGGGGGCTAAAAAAAGATATACTCACCTGAACTGCGATCCTGGCTTGCTTGTAGGGCTCGTTTCCACTAGCCCGTGTGCTCATCGCACTGTCCTGTGCCCGGGAACGCAAGGGATCACCTACACAAAGTCTCCATGCATTGCGGGGTGGGAGGGGGTGTGGCAGTGCCATTCAGGTCAATGTCACTGCAGACACGCCCTCCGCCCGCAGTCCGATCGGCTGCACAGGACCGCATGGTAATACAAAGCCTGGCGTTCCAGTGCAGTATGATCGCACATAATAGTGCATGCACAATTTTCTGTGATCGT